TCTATATATATATATATATAGAGAGAGAGAGAGAGAGAGTGTGTATATAAAATATATATCGTTCCAGAGTTTACTAAATAACTTTTGGGCCTGGCATGGTCTAGGTATTAGGCCACTGGAATCGCAATTTGTCGATCACAAGCTTGAATCCCACCACCGCCCTTTCAGTCGTGGGGACGTTAAAATGTGACGATCAATCTGAATATTCATTCGTAAAGAGTGATACAAAAGTTGGCGGTGGGTGGTATTAACAAGCTAGCTTTACTCTAGTTTAACACTCGAGTAGCTTTGAAAATTATTGTTTTACTCTTCAATTAGCATCACTAGATATAATCATTTGAAACTTCCGTCACAAGAGAAGGAAGTTGAATGAATAAAAGCTGTTTCACTGTAAAAGGAAATTAACCTCTGACATTTTAGATATTCAAGTTATGAAAACTTACGTCACCAGAGAATGAGGCTGAATAAATAAAAGCTGTTTCACTATAAAAGGTTTTTTTTGTTCAAGTTAAGTACAAAGCTACATAATGGGCTATCTGTGCTCTGCCCACCACGGGTATCAAAACCAGGTTTCTAGCGTTTTAAGTCCGCAGACATGCCGCTGTGCCACTGGAAGGCCACTGTAAAAGGAAATTAACCTCTGACATTTTAGATATTCAAGTTATGAAAACTTACGTAATCTTGATCAATAAAGAAACTGATAGCCACATAAGATGAAGAGAATTAAAGAAGCGACAAGTTACTAATTTATTCAGGTACGTGTACATCATTAAAAATTAAAATATAAAGGAATTATTCCTGTAAATCTTTCCTCATCTTGATCATCGTCTGTTGTACAGTAATTGGCTTTTCGGCTCTTTCACTATTAGTAAACATTATACACTTTTTTTTTAACCACTAAGGTTTTTTTTTAAAGGTAAAGTGATAGCGATGAACTGTTATTCTCCTATATAACGTTTTCTCATTTTCTTCTAAGAATTATGATTGTAGTTAAGCACGAAGCTACCCAATGGGCTATTTGTGCTGTTCCCACCAGGAGTATCGAAACCCGATTTATAGAGTTATAAGCCTTCAAACTTTCCGCTGAGTCACTGGGAGGCAATTATGATTGATGAAGTTGGAATGTATTTTATAAAAGACACATTTCACACATTCCGTGTTGGAAAAGCTTTAAAAATGCTTGAGATAACTCGATTGTTATTCTGTTTGTTTGTTTGGTGTTAATCACAAAGCTACACAATGAGCTATTTGTACTGTGCCAATCACGAATATTGAAACCCGATTTTTAGTGTCATAAATTCTGAGACTTACAGCTGAGCCATTGGGAGGCTTATTATTCTGTCTTTGTTACAAATGGAGAACGTATTCTGAAATTATGTGGTGTTTTTCAACATATTCTTAAACGCATATAAAATAGTAGCAATCAGGTAACTTTTGCACCACTCATTGCATGTATCTATTTTCACTTACATAAGCTAACAAAGACATGTTACACTTCAAAGATAAAGATCTGAGCTAGCAGCTCCTTAAAAGATGGCTTTTCTAAACCAACACTTTTCAGTCATATTATCCACTGTCTAAACCTTATTCAAGGAAAAATATGTGTGGTATTACACAAATTGTGAAGAATCTTAAAATTCAAAACTTTATTACACACCATCTGCGACGATATATATATATTTATTGCATCTTAGTATAAAGTACTGGTGTTTATCATGATTCTTCTTTAAGCTTTTTCTCAGAATTTTATTAATTATACATTATGGTATTATGCAAAAGGTTGAGTCATTATATTAAAATATTTTGTATATGCAAATCAGCGAGTCACATGGCAACCACAGTCAATATAAAGTTGAAGTAAAACGGTATGTATCAAAACTAAATTTTCAAAACATTGTTTAGCATGACGTAGGTAGTGTAATACCACCAAAAACCGATGGTTTTAGTAAAGAAATGTAACAGCCTTTTCCGACCTCGGGTCGAAGATTTAGAATTTATAAGGTTTGGCGATATTTTTAGCAGTTAATATTATCGGAAAACAAAAGAATATGGATCATCTTGGGAACCAGGACCATCTAGAAAGAGATCTGCAATAGGTTTTACCTCAGCCATAGTAAATAAAGTGCGGCGTCTTGTAACAGGTGAGAACAAGAACCCACAAACACAAAGGACAGCAGTAAAAGCGGTCCACGTGTTTCAGTCAACAATACCAACATAATAAAGAAGAATCTCTGTTTAGAAACGTGTTAATAGGGTATGGACTCCAAGATAAGGCTTCCAGTCATACCTCCATTCAACTTTCCCGTATCACAACAAGCTGGATAAGGAACAGGTATTCATTCTACTACATGCAAAAATATCATGCTGGTGAAGCTGGATTTCTGTGCAATCAGAGCACTGAAATGGATGGAAATATCCGTGCTCATACACCATATGGATTAAGAAAAGAAGCAGGGAGGAATGGTATACTTTGGACATGACAGTTCTACAACAGATCCCTTTTCAATGAGATATAAGCTGCAGGACCATTGTAAAGGTGCACGGAAGTCAAATACAGCATGAACATACATGGCAACATGGACTGTGATGAGGCTCCACAATCGTTGAAATATAACTTACTCAACCTTTAGTACACGTACTGTAAACAATTCGTTCTTTCAAACTCGCTTGATAATCATCCAATTTCGATAGTGCTGATTATGGTACCATGGCTTGAAAATAGGCTGCACATGAATTATAATTTCTCGGAATTTCATATGCTGAAAGCATTATAAAAAAACTTTTCAACAAATTCCCGCAATGAATATCTCCTCCCCTGTAGGTGGTAGTTTTTTATGTACATAGCGATAGGCGACTGAATTTTTAACGCTTACTAGAATGTACCTGAAGCCTAATTCATGTATTCAGGTCATATTCTGGTGAGAGTTTGTCGTAGGAGTTAGTGTTCTCTCTTCTTACACAATGATATGAGTTAGTGTTCTCTCTTCTTACACAATGATATGAGTTAGTGTTCTTTCTTCTTACACAATGATATGAGTTAGTGTTCTCTCTTCTTACACAATGATATGAGTTAGTGTTCTCTCTTCTTACACAATGATATGAGTTAGTGTTCTCTCTTCTTACACAATGATATGAGTTAGTGTTCTCTCTTCTTACACAATGATATGAGTTAGTGTTCTCTCTTCTTACACAATGATATGAGTTAGTGTTCTCTCTTCTTACACAATGATATGAGTTAGTGTTCTCTCTTCTTACACAATGGTATGAGTTAGTGACAAAACTAATTATAAAGCTCACTTCAAGGTTGTTGTTTTTTGTGATTAGTTATTTGAAAATTTTACCTTCATTCGTTAATCTTTGACGTTTTAACCAGAAAACTGAAAGTATTAGTTTTAATCGTGCTATACAATAAGTCACAGTGATAGTCATT